ATTAATTACTATGCCTTCTCTACACCAAAAAAAAAAATAAATAAAAGGGAGGGGAGCAAAGAGGAGGAGAAAAGGAAGAAGGGGAGAAAATATCAACCGTGCAGAAAGGAGGAAGGGTCTCTTCGTGACTGGCATCAATATCTCCTTCGGCGGAGCTTCGAGGGAGTCATGGCAACGAGCCCCTAAACCTCCCAAATCTCTCAGTTGCACACACGCACGCACACGCATACAACACGCCGCTACTGGTCCTGCACCTCAGGGGAGTGGTGGGGTGGTGGAGAGAGAGACAACCAGAGTCCTCTCGCCACTCTTCCCGCCCTATTCCACGCCAGCAAGGCTAAGGGCACCCAGGGCGCTGTTATGAGCAAGGAGACTTCCCTGGGCAAAAAAAAAAAGGGTGGTGCCTGTTTGGGGGGGGGGGCGTGTCACGGGTCTCCCACCACCGTTGGCGTGGCGTCGTACTGGCTTGACTCTCTGGTCCATTCTGGAATACTGTACAAAGGGACCCCCTCATGGTGGGGCGACCCGGGCATTGTTGGAGGGGAAAGAGAGGTGTTACTGTGCGACCAAAGATGTCTTTACACGCCCGCAAAAGTAAGATCTGGGGTGTAGGGGGGAGAGAGAGAGAGAGAGAGCCACCACCGTTGGCGTGGCGTCGTACTGGCTTGACTCTCTGGTCCATTCTGGAATACTGTACAAAGGGACCCCCTCATGGTGGGGCGACCCGGGCATTGTTGGAGGGGAAAGAGAGGTGTTACTGTGCGACCAAAGATGTCTTTACACGCCCGCAAAAGTAAGATCTGGGGTGTAGGGGGGAGAGAGAGAGAGAGAGAGAGAGGCTGTGGGACCAAAGATCTGGGGTGTGTGTGGGGGAGAGAGAGAGAGAGGCTGTGTCTCTTGCTGGAAAAGAAGCAGGCAGGAATTGACTGACGGGGAGGAGCAGTTTCACCGTTCACCCAGTAATAATAAATAGATACTTAGGGATACCTGGGGTCTCCCTTTTCTACTGAATCCAGGTGTGAAGCCTTCCTTCCTTCCAAGCATTTTTTGACAGAAGAAACGCCGCGGTGAGATAGCAGAAGGAAGAGGCGCAGAGAGAGAGCCAGGTGTGGAACTCCTCCCCTTGATCCATAAAAATTAAATGAGCATTCCCTTTGGAGACAAGGCAGGGAGGAAAGGAAGGGAGAGGCTCGGAGTCTCTCCCTCCCTCCCCCGCTCTCCCGGCTCTCCTCCTTTCCCCGTCGCCCCGATCGTAAAATGAAGTGACAATTCCCTGAACTCTGGACAAGTAATCAAAGAGGTGGTAAGCGGGAGGTGATGAGGTGCGGAGTCGAGGCACCTTAAACTAGATTTGCACCCCCGACTGGATGCAAGGAAGGGGGCATCCGTAGGTGTGCGCGCGCCAGCTGGGTGGGGTGAGTATGAAGAGACGCAAAGGTGCAAATCAGTGTAAAATGAGGAAGACTTCCCTGGGCAGGAGTAAAATGCCTCGGCGAAAAGGCTGGGAACGTCCCCTAGAAGGGTGGTAAAAAAAAGGGAGACGATCCTCGCCCCCTGCGTGCGAACAGCTTCGCGTGGACGCGCGCCCTGGCCCGCGCGCGCACCCCCGAGATCCTTGCCATGCTGAACCACCCGCGTTACCAAGAGCAACAAGAAGCTCCTCAGGGAGCGCGTCGTACCTTGAAAGATGGGCAGAGTTCCTCTTCTCTTCCAAAGCTGTTGCTTGGAGTCAGGAAGAAAACGAGGAGAGGGTTAGGAGGAGGAGGGAGACCGTGGGCACCCCACGGATGGAGAGAGGGAGGCTTCCTTTGGTACGGCTGCCCTCCTCTCTCGCACACGCACAGGCATAGGCACACACACCCCTTTTTCTTTCTGTGATTATTGGATGCCAGCCGCCTTCTCCTCCTACTTCACCAGGTGCCCAAGGGCTGAGAGCTACAGGGAGTCCAGTCCTGGCATGTTGCTCCTGCCTGACACTTCTGTTCCCTGACTCCTCAGGTGTCTCTAGTGCCACTCCCTTCCAGCCTCATGTGCCTTTTCGGAGCAGCTAGAGGTGTGACTTGGAAAGTCCCCCTGCCTTGCGGAAAGGAGGAGTAGGGTTCTAAAAACTTGGGGTTGGCAGAAGACCCTCCTCACAATACTGATAGGGGGAGAAAAATAGGAAAGAGGCAAAGGGCAGACAATCGACCAACTGACAAAGATACTCCCCATGCCAAAAGGGTATTCAGAAGAACTCTTTGCCTTTTAGGGATGTGTCCTTTGAAGAACATAGTAGATCTCCCACCCCTCTTCTAAAAAGAAAATAAATGTGCAACCTTTGTTTTTAATAATCACATTGTGTCGTGCTGTGGATCCAAGAACCCCTCCTTAGTTCTGGGAAGTAACTAGAGGAATTATGAAATGGTATTGGCTATGACGTAAGGACAAGGAAAATGAATGCTATTTTGTGCATGCATGCATGCATAAATGCTGAGCAGCAAGGAAGCTGCCTGCACGAGATAGTGGGAGGGTTGGCTGTAGCTGTGTTTGTGCATCCACTTGCATTCACAATGTGTGTGAGAGACATTTGTAACTGCTCCTCCTGGTGAAGATTTAGTCCCTTCCCCCATATGGTTGGTTAAATAGCAGAGAAAAGGAGACTATCTGTAGGTCAAGGTGATACTTATCTACTGAGCAGCAAGGAAGCTGCCTACCCGAGATAGTGGGAGGGTTGGCTGTAGCTGTGTTTGTGCATCCACTTGCATTCACAATGTGTGTGAGAGACATTTGTAACTGCTCCTCCTGGTGAAGATTTAGTCCCTTCCCCCATATGGTTGGTTAAATAGCAGAGAAAAGGAGACTATCTGTAGGTCAAGGTGATACTTATCTGCACCTTCCACCTTCCCAACTCCTTAGCTACTGCCCTGCTGCTCTAATTATGCTGATTAGTGGGAGGAGGGGTGCCACAGGCCACTTGCAAACAGGTAGTAGGCTGCATATAGGCATGGCAGACAGCCCTGACTTGAACGTGCTACTTAGAATTCGTACAGGAGTCTCTTTGGGTGTTCAGGTACACTACAACCAATGTCCTCACAATGGTCTTCTTACACCCACTGCAATGGAAACTAATTGTTGCTTTGGTTCTGATTATCTTGCTGAAGCAAGCCCAACTACATAATACTTCAGAAAAAATAAAGGATGTGGACAGAAATAAGCTGACCATGGAACAATAAAAGAGTTTTAAAGGCACCTTAAAGACTAACTACTTTTATTTGTCATGAGCTTTACTGGATTGTAGCTCATTTTTGAAGGCACAGCGTGTACCCTCAGTAGACTGACATTTATAACTTTGGTCAAGTGTCATTGTGAGCCTGATGAATATCTGCTCCAGTAAATGCCTGCCTCTGGAAGTTATACTCTGTATATTTGAATAAGTGGGCTACAGTCCACGAAAGCTTATGCCGAACAAAACCTACAACTCTCTTTGATCTTTTTAAGGGGCCTCATGGAGTAGAAGCCTCATGGTGCAGTGGTTAAACTACAGTACTGCAGCCAAAACTCTGTTCACAGCTGGGGTTCAGTTCGGCATTGAGATTCATCCGTCTGATAAATTGAGTACGCAGCTTGCTGGGGTGGGGTTGCGAGATGTGTAGCCTGCAAAATTAAATTGTAAACTGCCCATAAAGTGTATTCGCGAAGGTTTTCACAGCCGGGATCTAATGGTTGTTGTGGGTTTTTCGGTCTCTTTGGCCATGTTCTGAAGGTTGTTCTTCCTAACGTTTTGCCAGTCTCTGTGGCCGGCATCTTCATAAAGTGCTTTGGTGCTATGGGGCAGTATATAAGCAGCACACTTTTTGTTGTTGTTGCAACACTTTTTGTTGTTGTTGCCACACCAGTTTCAGCAATTTTGATGCCATATTCTAAACTGATGTGTGCTTGTAAGTGATTATATTTGGCCCAGTCAGACTATGAACTGGCACTTGGCACTTTACACATTGAATACTTGTGACAAAACATTTGCATTAGCTCTCCTTTGTTTAATCCTGTCCACCATGCATATCCATAATATCCATTATTCTTTAATTATGGGGTGGGGCAGCAGAGGGGATTTGCTTCCCTTACCCTTTTAAACAGAGACCAGGAGTTCATTAAAATGGGAAATATTTTATCTCAGTTCTGCTCTGGATTTGACAAATCTGAGAGTGGAATAATTCCACAGAGTAGGAATTCATTCTTTCACACACACACCCACGCCATCTCCTGCTCCTTGTTTGTTCACTTCTTTGTACTAAATCAGTGCAGTTAGCCAGTTCAGACATAGCATTCATGGGTAATTAAAACATGTTTTACTTAACTGGAAATGAGAAGCCTGCTTCCTCTTTCTTGTCCCTTCCCCTATTTCATGTACTAGCCGTGACAATCATCTCTGTTCTCCTGGAACAGATTTATATCAGTTTATTCATCAATGTCTCAATCCACATGTTGATCTTAGTAAATAAAATAACGAGCTTTACTAAGCCAGACATTTTACAGAATTTGGTGTTTAATTTACCCAGCATTGAAACTGGTGTGTAAAGGGAAGATGCTGAGGGAAAGACCACAGGGAAAGTGAGTAGAGGGATGAGGGAAAGAACACTCTAAACCATGTGACATAAAGTCAGGATCAATTGTTTGAAATCTACACATCTTGTTATTTTTAAAATTGTTATTATATATGTTGGAAGACACCCAGAGTAGTCGATTGACTAGATGGGTGGGGTATAGATGCAATAAATAAATAAATAAATAAATCTTTCTCTCCCCTCCCCTGCAAAAGTATATGTTATCTTGTGACAAAATCATTAAGAACTGCATTAAAATGCATTGTGTGTAACTATCTCCTTTTCCTATGCCCAGAACATCAGCCAAACTGCAAAAGTAACTGAGAAAGCGTGTTGTGGCACTGCCATGTTCAAGTCATCAAATGGCAGTTGGGTGGGGATATTGCCTGTCATATAAATTTGCATTTATGTAATTGTTGCATTGCTTTTCTGCCAGTGTTTCAAGCTTGGCACCATTTATTTTAAAGCACGAGTTTCAGTGGTCCAGTATAGTGTAATGGTTAGAGGGCAGGATGTTGGACAGGAACATCTACTAAGATCCTTCTCAGTAAAGACGTTGTAAGGTGGCTTTATTTTATCCAACATCTCTTTAAATAGATCTATCTTACAAGGTCTCTGTGTGGTTGGATTGTAGCGTTCAGCCCTGTCCTCACTTGTCCATCACAGCTGAGCAGTGGAACAGCAGCCAATGAGGGGACGGAAGGTGGTGCAAAAGGAGGAGGAGCTGGGATATAAATGGGGGTGTGTGGAGGATTGTGTGAGAGGAGAGATGAGAGAGTGTGTAGAGATCTGAGTGAGAAGGCAGTGTGTTAATGAGTCAGTGAGAGCAGGGTCTGTGTATTAGAAAGTTAAGTGATTGAAAGAAATTGATTATCTGCTTGTGATTTACTTATTTCTTTTAGTAATCAAATAAACAAGTTTAAGTTTTAAAGTAAATACAAGTGTCAGTGAATATTTGGTATTGGATCAGCAATACCTGGTGGCAGCTACTTGAGAAGAGGAGTGAGCACATACTGGAGGCCTGAGTTGTTAGAGGCTTCAGTGTGCCCACTACATGGATGTGGAGAGAAAACCTTGTAAAACACCCTTATACATTGTTGAGTGCAAATAAATAATAATTTGATTGTGAAAACACCTTGCTAGTTTAAGTTATCTCATCTTGGCTTGTGCTTCACAAAGCCAAGAGTTTTGGAGCTCAGCCTGGTATTATGATCAGCAGTGATTTTGTACAGTGTCATACTTAGTCTTATCATTCAGGCCCAAATCTATATGGGATGACATAACGCCTGGGACTCAGCAAAGATACTCTACTTTGTCGTCATCCTGCATTGCTATAGGAAGCACCTGAAGCTTCTGTTGTCCAATATAGACTGTAACGGGCAGACATAACATCACATGTCCGTCACAGCTGGGCAGTGAGTCATCAGCCTATGGTGTGACGGAGGGTGGAACTTAAGGGGAGGAGCTAGTATAAAAAGGGGGGTGAAGAGTGTGTGAGGAAAGATTGGAGATGAGAATTTGAGCTGAGGGTTTAAAGTAATTGTTAGTTTAGTGAGTGAGAGAGTCTGTCAGTGTGAAATAGTCTGTGTGAGCCAGTGTTTATTAACAGTGATTGATGAATTGATTCTTTACCAGTGATTTATTATTTATTTTTCTGTAATCAATAAACCAGTTTTTGTTTTAAAAGATATACATGTCCTTTTATGATTTTTAAGGATAAGTTGGTGGCAGCAGAGTTTTGTTTTGTTTTTTGTTTTTTTGTTTTTGAAGTGAAGTAGCAACCACTCTGTGAAGTGTGAGGGTGGCTGTTACATAGACCCAACCTTGGGACATCAGATATACTTGGACTGCAACTCCCTGAAATCCTGGCCAAAAAAGCTAGAGGTGAAGGCTTCTTGGAGTTTTCATCCAAGAATATCGGAGGACCCAAGACTGGGAACCATAGATGCATGCCGGTTTGTTAAAAGCAGGGGTCTTTAAACTACGGCCGACAGGCCACATCCCGCCCACCTTGCCTTTTTATCCAGCCCGGGCCTAAGTAGGGAAGGGAAGGAATACCCAAGCTATCCCCCACCCGGGGCCTAAGTAGGGAGGGGAAGGAATACCCAAGCTATCCCCCACCCCTACTGTCTTTGCAAAGCCAGTGGGGGTAGGGGATCGCTTGGGTCCCCCTTAATTCCTCTTCCTATGCCTGAGTGGGGATAGGAAGAAGAGCGAAGCCTGATCTAAGTGATCCCCCACCCTGGCTGCCTTTGCAAAGACAGCAGGGGTGAAGGATCGCTTA